GAGCAGATGATATTGCTTCCAATTTGATTCTTTGATAGCCTGTAGCACCAGATATTCATTTCACATGGCACTTCGTCATTTACAGCGCTGGCCGGGGGGTGGACAACAAGAAGATGATAATGGGCTGACTGCACTGCTCCTTTTAACGCGAACATCAATTGCCGATCATCTTAGGTCGCTCGATACGATTATCAAATAAGGCATAGACCTTGGTGCACAAGCATCCCTATACTAGACGTAATGATGCACCTTTCGATGCTCAAACGAGTTTATTGCAGACTGTACGTTGTTTGCTGTAAACCTCAACAACCTCATGTCGTTATTGTTGAGGTAGCGAGGGACGTTCTTTCTAGTCACGCCTTTTCGCTTTTCAAACTTGTGGCCTCATCGCTTAGTTTCTGTTTTTTCCTTGCGAGTGAGGAACTGTTCCAAGTTCTTATTGTGAGCTTCCTCTGTCGCTATCATTCCCGTGGCACATAATACTCTTTGCCATAAGTTCTATCTGCCTCCTCCAATCAGAACGGCTCGTTTCTCCGTCGAACTTGGGAAGCCGTCGAAGATTTTTAGACTGCTACACCCAACATGACACAGGTGAGAAGCAAGCGCTGATTGCTTTTGGCACCCTGCCTCAATTTCCTCGAGATCCTCTACCGCCTTTGTAACCCGGGCGACGACCGAGCCGTCAAAAAAAAACGTTCGTCAACGGCAAAATTATGAGGGGCAGATGGCTAGGTGTTACAGCAACCTCGCCGTGGTCCCAAACCCTCCTCCTCTCTCATTCAACGTTGGAGTCGGCTCTAAAGAGTACATGTACTATATTCACAAGTATCTATGCCTAGCCGTTTCCGACCAATTTCAAAATGTTGCATGTCAGTGAGGAGTTCTCCATGACCACAGTATGAAGCATCTGTCAAACTTAATTTTCAATAATTTTATTTTATCCAACGGCGAGATCAGAATTCAGGGCAGTGCTCTGTTCCCATTTCTTTATTCGCAATGAGCATACTTGTTTGAATGACACTGCTAGAAAAGTTTTCTGTCGCTGGCAATTATAGAAATAAAATGCGTGATTTGCTGACGGCAGAAAGCCTGAGGCATATTCCATATAGTCCATTGTCTATGATCTCGAGAGGAACGCCTGGTAGGATTGATGTTAACCTAGAACTCGAAACTGCTGTTTTAACGGAGCCTCCGGGTCAACTTGTATTGATTAGTTCCCGTTTTCTGTACACTGGTTTTCTCTGCAATTCAATCATATCTTTTGTGCCTTTTCTTTGCACATCGTTTCTATCTCCTTGCTTCGAACCGACCGTTGAAAATGCAGAACAAGCCACCCATTGCAACAACGAATTGAACTTGATTTGATAACTTTGGGCAATCAGAGCGCAGTCAAGTAGACAATGGTCGAATCATGGTAGAATGAGCCGTAAATGGCAGTGGTCAGACTGTCAGCTTTTCGCTACGCTCTTTTTACTATGTCCCTGAATCAGTGCTGAACGACCTGTGCAGGTTAGTCAACAGTGGACTGGAAAGAGTTATGCAAGGCTTCCTGCAATTAACGAGTCAGTCTGCTTATTATTTTGCTTTCGTAATGATCAGCAACTGGACATTTTTCATTGACGCATATTCAATGCATACAAAGAAATTGAATAACAGCAGTGTTCTGAATTAACGGCCTCAATTATGAATAAAATAATAATTGACTGAAATTGTAAACTTGACTAAACTTATTACTTAAAGAGAACTTTTCAATGACATGCAAAGTAATAAAAGAGTCAGAAATGGTTAAGGACACGATAGATAATTTCGAATTACATAGATGTACAGTCATGGTTGTTGGTCACACTTGGAAAATTAATTCTGTTCCAATCTCAGAAATGCTCCTGACTCAAACATGGCCGGTTTTCGATCAGTGTGTGCCCCAAGTGCTAACGTATGGATGTGAATATTTCGCTTCATTGACCTTAAGGTTAAAAGTTTCACGAACTACAGACTACGCAACGGGACATGGAAGGGTGCATGCTGGGAATAACAAGAAAAGTGTGATGACCAATGGATGGACAAGTTGCCCAAGCCGGAGTTTGCAATGTCACCGCAACAGCAGAAAAAATGAAAATGCAATGAGCACAACATTGTGAAAAAAGACCGAATATCCGGGGACCAAGGAAGTATTTCGTTCAGTTCCCAGAAACAGTAAACGCTATTTGGAACGTTTAGATCAACGGTTGTGTAAAGTGAAAAATTTTTTGGAACAGTGTGGATAGGCGGAATTTTGTGGCGATCCTTTCTAGAGACCTCCATCTAGCGGTGGATCGGAAAAGGCAGATTATAATGATGGCTATCGCAACTTCATGAACACATGAGTACATGATGGCGTAATGACCTCGCGCGGTCGCTACGGTGGGAACATAAAATAAGACACAATTATTGGAAATTCACAGTTTTGAAAAATGCTTCATATTGTGGTTTAGAAAACTTTTCATTGATGTGTAACATGAACAATTGAGTAGAAGAACTGATGGAGACTTACCTTGGCCAGTTATATTAATTAAAACTGGGACCACCGCCAGTCTGCCCTGAAGTCGCTACATGAAAGCATTTCATTTCGTTATGTTTGACTCGTTTTTGAGGAAAAGATGATTGTTTTCACGTAACGTGAATGATCTATGATTGAATGTGAGCTCGATGCGTTGAGTCGTAAGTGTAGAATGAAATGGGCCTCTGTATGGCCGTTTCGACGCCGTAGTTTTCAATTTGCACTCCATAAGGGAGCCTTAACTAGCTATGCTCTTAAACAGACTACGATCAAGCGGCTGAAACTCAAAACAGTGACTGCTCTTCTATGCATTGCACTGACCGTGGGACATGTTATAAAGCTGAAAAGAGCCAGAGGTACACCAAAGAGGACAGACGTATGTCACCTGAGTAACGCAGGGGTTGAGACAGGCTCAAGACCCACCGAGGTTACGACTCGTTCATGGGTTTCACAGTTAGAAAGTTTAAAACGAACTAACCTGCGATCGCAACGGAGGCACTGAAGCAGACGAAGAGTAAGGCGATAATCGGTGCTGGTTCCATGAGCCAGCTTAACTGGCGACGATTGGATGACAGCGAAGCGGGGATGGATTTATAGCCCTTGACTGGTGATGAGGGTGAGTGATATTTGAGGTGATTATGCGACTCACAACGGCATCCGGCCACACGCACGCACCTCACAGTCTTTCGGGTAAGTATGTCTAGCAAGGGAACCAGAGGACAACGGTTTTGGAAGAGGTTTCAGCGAACACTCCGACAGTGCAAAAGCGTTGCCACTTTCGATCGAAGTTCAGTTAACCTAAACGACACAAAAAATCGAGGACATCCTTGAAAACTGTGTCAACAGCGATGTCGGGCGACGACAGAGAAACTGGAGAAACTGGCCAACCGCTGAAATGGTACGACTGCCGCCTTTGAAGCGGTTTCGTCGAGGCGTTTTCGTGTTACCAGGTCAACGAGGTGACCCTAAAATTGAACGGATGAAAATTTACGTAAGCTCCGGAACCAAGCGATTTAGCCGGAATCCAGTGAACAGTGCCATCGGTCATAATTAATTCGACAACTGTTATTAAACGGCTGGCGACTTGCTGCTGCTGAAGCGGCGTCCGTGACCGAATTCACTGGTTCTTAAGGCAAAGGATAGGAAAATAATACATGACGACAACGCCAACCGGTGCCATTGGAGTCAAATACCTTTGACTTACAAATAACACACGGGTGTAAAACGAACCTCACCTAAACGTGAAACACTGAGCTTCTCAATATCACTTATTTGTGCTATTGACTTCAGTGGATAATTGGCCAACTGGATCAAATATTATGTAGAATTTAGTGTTTATTTAATGAATTAATGAATCATTTGGCGAGGAGGAGATAATGGTTGAGTGGGATATAAATATGTTTTGAGAGACGCGGGATCATTGTAGCAAAAAGTTCAGCTTCGAACTCCAGAGGCGCCTGTTCGAAACCTGAAAACTACAAAATTTGGCTTAACTGCCAATTTCCTTAAACAAAGAATTTTTCCCTGCGATGATTCTGCACCACCAGCTGAGAAACGGGCAGCACGTCGTTGACCTTAGACAGTGAAGACAATATGGTGCTCAGGCGTCTTCTTATCACAACGTGAAGTGGCAAGCACCCTCATAAGGCTACAATTACCATTCCTCCTGATAGCAGCAAATTCACTATCATTATCCTCAAAAGGCATAACCACGCCTGTTGCCGTTGTTCTCCCATATTCAGTTATTCCTATGAGTTTTTTGTGCCCATTGCTTCTTGTATTGTTGCTACGCTTTGCCTGAGGAATGGAAACTTGTTGTGGTACAAGGAAGACACTTAATTAGATGGAACCGAATTAAAATTTTTTCCTATTCGTCTTCATTGCTTTTTCGTTGCCTCTCAAGACTGCATTATGACATAATTTGCATATTGGTCCAGCAAATCGTTTTTCTTTTCTTAAGGTTGATAAATGAGTGCCACTCTATTGGATGGAAATAGCGGAGTACGCTCCATGCTTTTCATGTGGTTGAAAACTCAATCTTTTAAAAAATGACACTCCTGATTATCCATCACTGAGTTCAGCAGACTAAAATGGCATGCTAGATGGATGACTAGTAAAGCTGAAAGCCGCAACAACAACAAAAAAAATCATTCACTACAGACATGCTGAATACTCAGGCGTGGCATCCCAAGCCGCTATGTAGGAACATGTCCTTATCGATACAAGGAAAACGTCAAATTGGGGTGTTATAAACCAAGTCTATCTTTATTCTAGCACGAACATTTCAAACATGCAACAA